GAGGCACCTTTCTAACATGGTTACAGTTACACGCATGTTAAGTGAAGTGAGGCACCTTTCTAACATGGTAACAGTGACACGCATGTCAAGTGAAGTGAGGGACCTTTCTAACATGGTAACAGTTACACGCAGGTCAAGTGAAGTGAGGCACCTTTCTAACATGGTTACAGTTAGAAGCAGGTCAAGTGAAGTGAGGCACCTTTCTAACATGGTTACAGTTAGAAGCAGGTTATTGCCTAGAAAAAAACATATATGTATTGTAAATTGATTGTATGTGTTACACCGAAGCAATTGCAGAATACAAATGAACATGGTTGCAGCCTCTATCCTCGCCGTGGAGGAGATTAAACTACACAAACAGTCTAACTCATGTGCACGTAAATATGTTTGAACAGAATTGAACGACACATACGATAAATGAAAACATTAACTTTCTCAAATTGCAGAAACAGAGTTAAAGCTATGCTAACATTTTGATATCACATAAATATATCATTCCGTATTGGGTCCGGGACCAGTTTACAGATATATATATATATATATAAAATCATTACGTTCCGCCGGCTGTGCCATCAGTATCAACATATTACGTTCTAAATTGTGCTGACACAATCTCACTATTGCTTCAGTGTCAAGGCAAATGGAGTGAGTGAGTTCAAATTTTGCATAAAGCGATCTACGCACATGTCTAAAACACAGTCGACCAAACGAAATGAAATTGGTGCTGCAGCGATGTGGAGCGAGGCGATCTGTTTGCTTGTTGCACCACGTGTTGGTATACATGTTTATAGCAATAACAATGACACAGTGGCTAATTCCACATGCTACGGCAGCCATCTGTTGCATGTGAGTACGCGAGTGTCATTTGATGGGTGTCGCGTGTACATCCTCCTTGAATAAAGTTATCTTTCTTGTTAGTGTGGCATATTACATATGAGTGAACATGACAAGCTCTTATGTCAAAGGGGGAGGTGGGGTAGCCTTGTGGTTAAAGCGTTGACACGTCACGCCGAAGACCCGGGTTCGATTCCCACATGGGTACGATATTTAAAGCCCATTACTGGTGTCCCCCGCGGCGATATTGCTGGAATATTGCTAAATGCGGCTTAAAACAATACTCACTCACTCTTATATCGAAGCTTCACTTAAACTTTGCATCAATAAGTGCGTGGTTGGGTTTAACATCGACATAATCCCGTCATATCACGTGGAAAAGTGCCATACCCGAGCAGGGGTAAGGTTTGAGAAAACCCGGGTCATAATCATGGAGAATATTGGTGCATAGAAAACCGACATTTCATTTTACAGAGTTCATTGTACGATTCCGACTGTATCATGAGCATGTGTTCATGAATCACTATCAAATAGGGATGATACTAGGTGTTCCGTTGGCATCGGCCACAAACACATGCAAAGGCAAGACAATTGTTCGCCTGAAAACAACGTTCACAACCAGCGGTTCCTGTCACCATTCTGAGTGACGGGGCCTCCAGGGTCAACTTGACGCTTCCATCGTATAGTATCCAGGGTGTGGTGTCATGTCTATCTTATATCAACTATTTAGTTTATAAGACAATGAGAGGAAAGAAGAGAGAGAAGATTGGTCGGACAACATCTCTCTGAATTATCTCAGTTTGATAACTCCTCCAACCTCGCCTGTCCAACGCTGTATAATACTGGCACATCGTACATACACACTAAGGATGCTGTTTCTGATGATGGAACTTCATTTGTTGCATTTTCAAATATTGACCTTCCATCATTCACATTAATATATCGATTTTGAACTTCAGCTCGTATTACCGCCGTTTTGTTACCTGTCTTGCCGCACCTTCACAAAACACATGTATAATCTTACTGTTCAACCTTATACCCACGCTCAGCAACACAAGAAATAGTTTAAGTAACGTCATGCTTTTGATATGTATTAAATGTGATGCGGCCATCACACACGGCACTCCATACCTCTCCTGTAATGTGTATTTATCTGAACCGTAATAACGTTGCACGTTGAACATAAACTTAGGCATGTCTTCAATGCGGCTCCCGTCATAGTCCAGGAGTTTAAGTACGATTAAGTGCCTTCTGGATCTGCACATAATGTGCCAATTTTATCCTTGATGCGTCCAGAAAATCCATAACTTGACATTCACTTATGATAGATTTTGACATTTACGTTACATAATGGACATCACGTCACCACTTTCCGTGCCTTATGCTTCAGGTTTCTGCATTTTGATTGTATTAATCGTTCCGGACACCCACGGGTGTGTGCAATAGGCATGAGGTAATCTAATCTATATGTAATCTTGCAAGAACACTTAAATCAATACTTGGTAACGCAAAGCCAGTACATGTCTACAGTGTGCTGTATACAAGATCGGTGAAGATCATACAAAGATATATGTAATCTCTGTTTACCGAGACTTGCATTAAGTCCCCGTGTACCACCAGCCGTAGCCTTGCTCCAAGGCTTTACTGACATATAAGTCCATGGATCTGTAGTAATTCTCTCCTCCTATCAGGCAAGTCTAGATATGTGGATACAAGTCTCAAGTCTCTTATAGGAACAATTTGTTCTTATTATTTACATAATCTAGAAATTATGATTAAAACTAATAATTATCGAGCTAGAGACTTCTGCAAGTCTACACCAGCCGCACCAGTCTCGTCGTACATGAGAACCACTGCCCTCGGTCTCGACACGAATCCGTCACTATAAATCTTACCATTAGACACCTTGTCTTTGGCGTCAGGGCATCGTAACAATTACTTCTCATTGTCATTAAAGAAACGGAACACTTTATTAAAAGCTTCTGAAGATAGAGATAAACTTGTTTGTAGAAATAAAGTTGATGCGTTTGCAGGCTCTCCTGTCGACTGATCTAAATGAATGGTTTATTTTTCAAAGACAGCGATCAAAGAGCAGTGTTGAGGCCAAACATTTTGAACCTGAGAAAATTAGTAAATGTTGGCCCTAATGACCCCGCGGGCGAATGCACTTTGGGGTCTATTATTTTTTAATACATCTCCGCCGGGTAGTGTGATTAACCTAGCCTACGGTTTACCATACAGGGTTGCAGTTCTTCAATTGTGTTGAAATCAAAGGAAACGTATGGCCTGTCAATAGACAGAGTTAAAGGTGCACAGATATGCACAGACACTGACACCGCCATTACATCACAGACTCGTTAACATACTGGGATAATTACAATATGCACACAACAATATATTACAACAGTGTATGACAAGTCTTGGTAAAGGGTGGATTAGTGAGTATTTTACGAATTTATCATTACTAGTTCACAAGTCACAAACACAAATTTCTGTGAAAATGTTGTCATACTCTCAGGATTGTAACGCAAGGTGCAAACAGGTTCAACAGGAAAATTTGACGTCATTGTATGGTCTTTTAACAAGACGGCGGCAAGCAGTCAGAGAGTTAGACGCCATACAGATGTTTGAGTGAGTGAGTGAGTGAGTGAGTAATTTATATGAGGCTTCACCCATTGTGGGTTTTTTCTCAGTTTTCAGATATTATTCAGCAGTAAAGGCTAAATAGCCTGCAGTATAATTGGTGATAAAATCATTTGTCACGTGACAATGGTGGTAAGAAGTATTTAGACTTGGTTTTGTATTAAAGGAACACGTGAAAGCTGGAGAGTGACTAGTGTCAACATTCTTCAGTTTAGTACATGGATCAGTGTCTGTTAACATGTTGCATCTGTACAAATGGGGGTCAATATTGTTATCGTAACTGTGAAAACCTAGTACAAATGTACAACACAAGAAATTCATCTACAATATCACCAGAATCACAATTCTTACAAATAGCAGCTATATGTGGTCGTCAAATTTTTTTACGGATATTATTCACATTAAAGTTATGAAGAGAGATTCTAAATTACAAAATACCCTAATTGCCACTCTTTGTCATTGAACTTTGTGATGTACATTTCTTTTTCAAATGATGCTTAAATACATGTATAATGCGTTGAAAGGTTTCATAAACATATTGATTGGACCCAGTTTTGAATAGACATATCTTCAACTCTTTACGCAAATATACATAAGAAAAGCTTTTGTCACTAACATTTTGTTCAATCCGCGAATATTTCGTACATCTGAAGCCCAGTTATGTTTACATTCATCGTCAAGTTGTTTTGATAATCAAAACATTCACCAACATTCTGAACTTTCACTTGACAAAGAAGACACATTTGTAATCACATGCATTGACACACGCGCATCACGGAGAAACTCCCCACTTATAATTGCTATGCCCCGCGTTGAATGTAATCACTAAGCACAACCACACGCCTGTTACACAGAGGTAACGACTGCCACTGTCACTACGAAGAGCACTAAAATATCAAGAGTCACTGCCCTCAAATGGTCTTCATGAGCAACGTAAGATCGTATACAAATAGGTCAATGGTGCTTTTATCAAAAATCAAGATTCAAACACAACACGCGTACGTGGCTGTGGATAGGATACTGAGGTCTTTCATACAAATAGCACTGGCTTCGAACCCTTCCATATGTATATATGTATGCTTACCCTTTCGCGAACACCTGGTGTCATCACTGATCCTAGATGTTCAACATTTTTCCTTTCACATCCAAATGAATCTATTTCGGCAGACAGTGGAGACGGAATATTCCCTGGCGTTATGTTGCATATGTACGATATACATATATGTATATTGAGGATCATACGTTTACATATATTTCAAAAGGATTTTGACGCAATGAGATGCTATTTATATATATTTAAGAAACGTATAAATTGTTTCACGGCGATGTTAAATACTCGTATTAATGACAGTGCTTTTAGTTCCGAGCTTCAACCAATGCCAAAACATTCACAAACTGAAGATCGGAATTTAACTCACTCACGAGGAAGGGAATATCAGCTTTAATACATTCAAAAATGCACACGACACATACTGACAGCTTGAACACACACACAGTGACATGAATCACTTGATAATGCTTACCCGCAGACGGGGTGAGAACCCACAGGTATATGAAGGACACAAACAGAGAGCACAAATCACTTGCTCGACGACTCATTCTGATTTTCCTCTTTCAATATGTAGATGGCCTTGGGGAATGGGTCGTGCTTCCTTGAATTCCATCGATTCTTGTGGAGTATAGTACCAGCCTGAAACAAAGAAATACAAGCTAATCAACAGTTCACAAGTTCCCTATACGCAAACAGTCAGAGTACCCTTTGCGGACACAGCCGGAGACCCCTGTGGGTCATTGTGGTATCAATACCAGATGACTGTCAGCTGAGATTGCCCGCCCTCCCCTCCCTTGTAACTAGTCATGTGGTGAGTAGCATATCACAGTTGTACAAACAGCTTTTAGAAGGGTCGTTGATAAGTTTGAAATGTTACAAGAAGAGGCAGGGATAATACTTGTGTTTAATTGACTTCTTATCTCAACAGACCTTGATTATTGTTAAAATGACCGAGCGCCAGGCGGCAGCACACGCTCCTCCTCTGTTTGAATACTCCACAGTGTTCGGGTATGATGAATGGCTGCGATAAGGCTGATTAAGTATTCACTTGCAAATGATAATGTCGTAGGTTGTTATAAATGATTCGAAACATTTGTTTAAAGGGCTCTGCGTAAATCGTCAGCCCCTTGAGTGATCCTGCCGAAGGCCCTGTACGACGGAGACGTGAACACTAACACTGCCAGGCCGGTAAATTGCCCCTACACTTTGACATTTGTCCATATTAAAACGGAACATGTGCGACCGAGTGGTCGGCGAGGATAACAGTGGAGAATTGCTTCCCTTTATCTTGTCGGGATCCGCTGATCGTGGGTTCCAATTCCGAACGAGTTGCCATCATGGTCCAAAGTTATCGCGTACGCGTCATAGAAAGGGCTCAGTGTGTTAAACGTCAACCACCTCCGTCACAAATTAGCCTGAGAGGTTGTGATATTCTATTTTAAATCTACAATATTGTTGAAAGCGGCGTTAAACGCACCCACGACCATATTTCAACGGCGTCCATTTGGAGGTATGCTTTGTTTACTTGGTCTATACATGCATGTTAAAATATAAACATACTTAAAGCCCTTTGCATCTACGTTATAGTTAAGTACTTCTTCCAAATCTGCTAGCCCCAAAGTAGCATACTTATATACAGTGAAACACGTTAACCGTGCCCCCACTATTGCGGATATCCCATCGTCCTGTCGTCAACTGCTATAAACGTTATTATAACACTACATGACAATAAACTGTATCTATTTTTCGTTAGTCAAAAGGAGTTAATCAGACTGATACCAATGACGTGCAGTCTATGGGGATTTAACGATTTAAGTGCTATCGTCAGATCGATAAATCTGAAACGTATCTAGAATGTTTCAGGAAATGTCAGTGGAGCCGGGTGTTTTATACCAACCTGTACGGCTATGTGGTTTGTATCCTTCAATTAAGACGATAAGACAAGAAACGTGAATGGGGTCTTGGAGTTAAGGTGGCATAGGCTGATAAATAGCTGGAGTCATAAACGCGATTCGAGCGAAACTTAACGATGATTAAATGGACTTGTGATGTGACAAGGATACAAAGAAAACCATGTTACTACTATTTGTGCATTGTGTGGAACATATATCTTCGTCTAGCAGGTTTAAACTCCAATTTATACTTTCTCCTTACTTGGAGCCATATTCCAGAAGCTCCAACCTTTGGTGTCATACTTGCACGACTTCTGTGATACAATCGAGTATGCTCTTTCTACGAAGGTTTCCATCAGCATCAAAGGACTCTTTCTCAAAAGTTGCTTGATCACGGTTTCAAATTTTAAGGCAAAGCTTTCAAAAGGTGTTAAGGCACACACGTGGTGGACATTTCGACATTTGACGCATTAGTAACCAAAATGTCAAATGTAGTTCCCTATTGTGACTTGTACTATATGTGAGGTGTTTTTTGTTTAAGGTGACCAATCGATTTGTCTTTGCATGCGTTTGTGACGAGTGCTCCCAGTGGGGCAGGATACGCCTACCTGTTCGCCATCACCTGGTATCATCAAAGATTCATAAACACATGCTCATGGCATAGTCGGAGTCGTATGGAGATTTCTCATGTCAACTTAAAGGGTTTAGCCACTTTGAAATCCTGTGGCTTTCCTGTGATTCAGTAATTCATCGATACATCGGTTCGCTATAAAAGTAGGAATGGCAACAAGTTTCTCAACCAGTCCAGGGTCCCTGGCTTGTTGTTTCCTGTCTCTGTTTCTTTATATGGCAGTGTTTTATATCTTGCGTTTCAGTAGAGTTTTTATCCTAGAGGACATTAAAACCTCACAGTCTGTACTCCTATACATCTGACTTTATTTCTTTGCTCCCAGAAAAGACATTAAATCGAAGATCCATTTTTTGTACCTAAATTTTACTTCGGGAATAGTCTACAGGGACTGACCAACATCGCCTGACTCCACATGTACGTTAAAAGTGAAGTCAGCATCGGGCTAATACCAAACGTAACAGTGTAATCAATCGTCAAAATAATTCCCGTTATGCGCCTCAGGACTGACTCTTCTGTCAAGCGCATGGAGTTTATTACTTCCCACGTTCCCTGTGCTGCAAGCAACTGACAGACCTCGTGCTGCTCAGGTCAACCCCTCTAGGCGCTGGTGAATAGGGAATAGGGTCGGGTCTTATTAGAATAGCCATTGTTTCGTTGCAATGTGGTCCATTTTTAATACAGGAACTCTCTTGATGGTAAGGAGTCTGTCTTTGTTCGAGAACCTGGGTTATTCATGGGAAACAGTTACAAGGAGGTCTGATTTCTCCAAACACACCTTGAGGGTGAAAGTGGCGACCACTTGATACCACTTGATACCTCAACGTCATGCTTAGTTACAAGGTCCACACACACACTGACACACACAGACACAGACACAGACACAGACACACCGACACACACTCACATGCATACACACATATACACAGACACACACACTGACACATACACACACATACACAAACACACATACATACATTCACATACACATACGCGTACACACATACACCCACTCATACACGCACACATACAAACAAACACTCACAGGCACAAACACAGACATGCACACACGCGCGCACGCACATTCACGCACACACACATACACGCACCTACACCTACACTCACACTCACACGCGCACACACACACACACACACTAACCAACAGACAGCAGCTACCGCTTCAAGTGAGCTTTCGTTTCACAAAGAACGCACACAGCTTTTCAATTTAACAGTTAAACAACATTTCTTGAAGGATCCTGTCACTATCCGCTGGCTAAACCCAAGTGTATGTAACTTAAATCGTCTCTCGAAGATGGTAATTGTTGATATATTCGGTCTGTTCGTCGAACAATCTCTTAAAGACATTTACCGAAGTCTCGAAGACATGCGCTATAATGGTTGCATTTGCATATATATGTGGCTTCGAAATTTCAAATCTAACCTTAACAGGAAAGTTATTGGTTGGCCATAAAACCCACAGTTAAAGCATGTTCTCAGCGTTTCGAGCAAATAAATTTAAGTGCATGGAATTTCTTCTCAAAACGTTTCGCGGAAAGTCTGCATTTGTAGCAAGCCTTGGTCTCAGTCGCAGCCCATGTCATTGCTCTGACCACGTTCCCAATCCATGTTTCTGAAGCAGCCTTTACAGAGTGACGCCAAAGTGCAATTTACGTTTACGGGTATTTAGAAGCATTTATATGATATTTATATATATAACAACAATCGGTATCACATACTGACTTAACTATATCATGCCACACAGGTCGATAAGCTGTTTCCTGAATTATCCAGAGACCGAGTCGTGACGTCATAACTAGCAGTGCAGGGTTCCTTCCAACGTAAGGTAGTGCTTCTTGCTGTGCGTTTATGTTCTGTTTTGAACACGCATGCAGCCTCACAGCATGACGAACTTCAACTACATTTGATTCTTGACGTTGTACTTCGTGTGCACGTTTACGAACATACTGTGACATGTATAGATGGCTCTTGTAACTTATTAATCAGCTGCACGTGTGCAGGCAATACTCTGATACCATTATACACATTCGGTTGGGTATCTCCAATGAAACAGTCAGTTGAAATCTCGACTGACAAGAAACATACAAAACGATGCCATGTTCGATGTGAGTTAAAATATATTTTTTCAAAACCTCCTATCACTCTCAATACTCTTGAACACAATACAGTGGCACCCGAGGCCACGTTTAAATTAGATATTTCAGAGTTTGCATTTACTTTCTAAATGTAAATAGGCTTCAGAAACGGCGAGCTCTTTTTATCGTCTCTCCTAATAGGATGGAAATAGGAAATCCTTACTCTGCCCGTGTATATTAACCACTCATGTTTTCATGAACAGAACAATATTTTACTTGCCTCTACAACCCACACAGTTGTTGTATCGCATGACAATATGCATACATGGTACAAATATACTAAGGACCACCAGCCTCAGGGACTGTTCATATTGCGCAGCTTAATGGCTAAGAAGCAACTGTGTGTACTTAGGCGTTGCTAATACACTGATAGGGACAGTTCGGAATTAACTCAAGCAGATGATAAAAGAGAAGGACAATAAAAGGTAACCCTGTTATCACAGGCGACCTAGGTACAAGCGACATAATGTAATTCCATTACTATTGATTGCCGTCGGGTTGTATAAAGGTAAGGGCGGAATCAATTGCTCAATTACATGTCTGGTACGGGACATCTTTGCTTGCTCAAGATCTAACCAAGTAGATGAGACCGTCGGGACTATTGGGGACTACCCTGTATGAGATAGAAGTGTGCTGCTACAAGGTGCCATTTGGTGGCTTCCTCCCTTGAACGGGAGATAAGAGCCTTCAATGAAGTTCACCCTGATGGAATTATAGTCCTACGTTTGTGCTACGAGTTCAAACACCCATTAAAGTATAATGTAACATGATGTCAAAAAATATTACTGTTTAGTATGTGTGTGTGTGTTTGTTGAGATGATGATGTTCGTCTGATGGTGATGACAACTTAATGTCTGTAGATGCAAAGCTTCATGTCGTACAGTGATGTGTTCATTGAGTGAAATGACGTGGATGATTAATCACCTGAACGTTTTCTGGTCAGAGATTAACAACTGCAGGGAGGAG